TTGCTCTAAACTGCATGTCATTGTATATTTATATCTAATGACAATGAAGCATCTATCAACAATATTAATATATAATCTAAAGGTTATAAAGCCTAAAGTAATGCTGTCGTGCCCTAAAGAAGCTGTATGTCTTGAGATTGGTGGGCTCACTAGTGATAGTCCGCCAATAAATAACTAGATTCTATTTTTCTGTTTCTCTCTCCCAGCCTCGGTGATGGTCAATCCCAAACGGTCGCAGCATTTCGAGTATGATATGGTCACTGTGAGCTGTGACAGCACCAGCTCTGGTGAATGGACGGTGTGGAGATACACAACAGCAGCGTCAGTCTAACATCACACAACAGAATCCCTAAAAGAAATCAGTTTTTTTACCATAGTAAAAGACAACCTGGTGTACTTTCTATCCCTTATGATCATTGTGCAAATCATCTATTGGCTGTTAGCTTTGTTTGCTTCCTTACAGGCAACATGCTGCGGTTTCATACTGCATATTGATAACACATCACAGACATTCGGTTTCCTTTACTCTCTAAAGATTATGTTAGCGGTGAATGCGTATAAGCGTCTACTTATGTAATAATGAAAAATTGCTGGAAAGTCATGTCTGATAATTAAAACCAAGGTTATTAGACATCAACTTAATGTGTTAAATCTCTCATCATCCCGTCTGATATTTAGCTACTGAGCTAATGTGACATTACGTATAACGTTCATTTCACAGACTGACAAGCTGCTTCTCAGCTCTGAATGTCTGAAGATCCTGATTCAAATGATAAACATATCGATGTGATCTTAAACGTAGAACTCAGGGATCCTGACTATTCTTTACCATCTTCTAGCTTTAGTCCATCAGTACTTGTCTGCCATCTAACTGCAATGTACCAGGCTGGATTATGATGTGCCAGATTAGCATTAGCTGACTGTGCAATGATTTATTAACAGAGCCATTACAGTGTCACCTTTTCTGAACAGCAATAAGATCCAAAGTTTGATGCCATGTGGATCGGACTGGGGAAGCCAGACTTCCTCTACCTGCACCATAAAGCCATTCAAAGAACACGACAGTGGAGTGTACTGGTGTGAATCTAAACACAGAGACAGCAGCAACACAGTCAACATCACCGTCAAAGGTAAGACTCATAAAACTACATATCAGTGTGCAGGCTGGACAGGCCACACAAATACTTCCTCTTCGTCTTCCTGTTTAAATTTTTCATTGAAATACCACAGATTTGGCACCTCATCCAACATGACACACGTCAGACTCATCACACATGGAGATGTTTGCCCTCACAAAGTACTTGGTTTGGTTTGGGAAAAATAAAGGCAAACTTGCCTGATGACTCTGGTTGTTAGATATAAGTAACTCTTACAACATGAAGACGGTGGATAAGACACATCCACCAATGTGTCCCTGAGCAAGACACTAAACCCCTAGTTTCTAAAGAGGCGTGTGACCTCTGGCATGTATAGCAATTCTAAGTATAAATGTAAGATGGCGAAACAAATTGTTTTATGTCTGTGAGTGACAGGCTACAATACACTTCAAAGATTTAAAAGGAACTGATTACAAAAAAGGGAAGTGAATCATGGTTGTAAGATGATTCAGCACCTTGGATGCCACGCCACTAACAGACTGTCTGATGAAATGGAGACACAATTTACTTTTTACATTGCTACTACAATTACACTGCTGGTTGTATGATTACACTGCTGGTTGTATGATTACACTGCTGGTTGTATGACATGAGGCAACATTCACCAGCTGTTGATCATCTCTATTCATGTTGAAAGAAAACTCATTTACAAATTACAACAGATACAAACAAGTACACAACACAATACAGGAAAGCTGTTAATGGGAAGTCAGGGATAAAATCAAAAATCATTGCAATTAAAAATAAGTTAAATAAATGTAATACAGAACTAAATGCAAATCTTAAAAATAAAAGTGTTTCATCAGCTATGTTACAAAGTAAGGCCTCAAATTTGTGAGTTATATTTTCAAATGAATATATATATATCAATAAATATGCAACATTTGGTTAGACCTCAGCCTTTCGAAACCGCCATTTTGAAACAGCACGTTATTAATGTTGTGAATTGTTGCAATTTGGTTATGGTTTAGGCACAAAAACGACTTGGTTATGGTTAGGAAAAGATCACGGTTTGGGTTAAAATGAATACTTATGTCAGTTAACACGTAAGTTAACTTACGTCACTTGCGTCAATTTATGCAATTTACGGAACTCGCGTAACTTAAATGAAAATAATTAACGTTGACACACGGGACACGAACCCCAGAACTCCTGGTCAAAAACTGACGCTACAGGGTAGAGACCTGTGAGATGACTGTTTTCTTGATCCCGCTCCGCTGATTTTGTGACCATTACCGCCCATTCCCGCAACATGTGTGTAGGAGCCATACACTGGGTTTGTTTGGGTTTTTATTGGGTTTCCTCTCTTTTCTTTGCACTGTAGTGTACATGCACGCGCATCGTGACGTCATCGGTTACTGTGGGTGTGACCGAGGGCGTGGTGTCTGTATTAATATGTGTGTGTGCTCACCTGTGGGGAGCGCTTGGGTTGATCATGGCTGCAGGGTGAGCATGGGAAAAAACTTTCTGTTGACCGTTACCATCGTCATCATCATTACTAACATCTTTCACTGATGTCTCTGAGGTACCTTTTGCACTGCTTACGGAATGGGTTTGCACACGGCTGCACCAGAGGCTATATTTTTTACGTAGATTACGTTTTTATGGGGTGAATAAGAAAATTATGATGCTGTTCTACAAGGCTGTTTTAGAAAGTATTGTTAAGTATGGTGTTACAGTATGGTTTGGGAACCTATCTATACAGCTAAAATACAAATTGTCACATCTGGTGTTGACAGCACTTAAAAAAGCTGGAAATGAGGAATCTTTGAATCTCCAACAGTTATTTGAGAATAGCACTTTAAATCAGGTGCAGAAAATTGTGGGGGACCAAACTCACTTTCTGCACTCTCAGTATGAATTGCTCCCCTCCGGCAGAAGATATAGAGTTCCACTGTGCAAACTAAACAGGTATAAAAATTATTTTGTTCCTGTGTCTACACGTATGTTGAATAACAGTCTATCTTATTAATTTTAAATTTGTAAATTAATTGTCTTTCCTCTTTTTATACTTTTTATACTTGTATATTGTATATTTCTATGTACATGCAGCAACCATGCAGTCCAAAACAAATTTCCTTTCGAGGACAATAAAGTATACTACTACTACTACTACTGCTGGTTTTCTATGTATGTGAAATAGCGTAATAAAGAGACTCAATATGTACGATGGTTCAGCGTGACGCGTATTCAGTGTAAATCCTCATGTTTCAGCCTGCTGCGGCGTTTTAGTTGTTTTGGTGGGTCTGGTTTGTTTGTTTTAGTGGTATACGCCGCAATATTGTGTATCCACTCCCGCCCGCACCTGAAAACATTGTGACATGCAGAGTAAAAAAAAGGACACAAGTGTTTGGGCTGTGCTAAATGCCCGTGTGACGGAAACCAACGAGGCTGTGCAGTAAGTAAACCTCACGACACCTTAGGAGACATACTAGCGACTCACGTCAGTGGCCGCGGGGTTTAGCTCCCTTGTCAGCGTGTCCGCCTCCTGTACCCGATGTCTCCGGGTTTGAAACAGAAAAACAAAACAGATGTCTGTTTTTTTGTTTAGTGTTTTTCCATTTTTCCGTTTTGGTTTTAAAACAGAAAAAAAACAAAAAACAACTGTTTTTTGTTTTACATCTTTGGGGCCGGTGTAACGTAAATTATATATTTCTATAACTGTTTTTTAAAACTAGGTCAACAATTGGCCCATAAAGCACGTACAGCAGCCCACTGGGTAATCTTCTATACTGACATTGTGCTTGTCCAATCACATCTCTTACTAACCCTCTCTGCTCTCTGTTTCTTGCATCATATTTACTCACAATAAACACTGTAGCAACACGTTCACACAGCAGTTGGACAGCACTTTGTGTACAAACATTTCTGTGAGTCACAAGTACACAGAAGAAACTACAGCTTTCACTAACTGTTGATACCCCGACAGCCATCTTGGATCACAAAGTCGGAGCAGTGCGGTTCTCCCGACTTCCCAAGTCCCTTTGAAATTTCCAACTTTGAACTTGGAAGTTCTGACTTCCCATGTCAAATGGAACGTGCCAGGGCAGAGTGACAAAGTGACCGTGACAGGGCCGAGGAGGAGAGAGCAGGAGGAGAGTGGAGGTGAAGCGGTATACATGGAGTAGCTCAACCTGTAGGGAGGGAGGGTCATTTACACTAGGGACATGTTGCCACCACTTTTTGAAAGCATTTGTTAAAAATGTTCTGAAAAACAGCTTGCACCAAGAAATGTTTCTTAATAAAATAAAAATGCTATGAGAAAAGTTTATTTGCACAATAAGAAAACCTACAATGTAAAAATAGGAGAAACATCTGCATTGTCCAAAAAAAGAAACTATTTTCACCTGCCACCTGAATTCTTGCTTCCCTTTATAAAAATAAAGACATTTCCACAATAACTTGGTGCAGAATATTTCTCCAGAATGCAGGAAAGTTAGTGTTTCATGCTCACAATCTTCATTATGTTTTCAATTTGTTAAAATTTACTAGAAATCTATACAAACATTAATTTAATCATCTTTAAGAGAGACATCTGCTTAACTAGCGCACACGTAAATATACATATGAAAAGCTCTGTATGTTTATTTTTATCTTAGTTTCTTTAAAGTGGACATACAAACACATTTTTCTTCTTTCTCTATGTTCAGACAATCAACCAGTGATCCTAGAGAGTCCTGTCCTCCCTGTGATGGAGGGAGATGATGTCACTCTGCACTGTAAAACGAAGACCCCTCCCTCCAACCTCCCAGCTGGTTTCTATAAAGATGGCTCCCTCATCAGGACTGAGCCTACAGGTCACATGACCATCCACCATGTTAACAAGTCTGATGAAGGCCTCTACAAGTGTAACATCAGCGGTCGTGGAGAGTCTCCATCCAGCTGGCTGCTGATGAAAGGTAAATAGTTGTATCCCAAACTCCTACTTGACCCCTTTATGGGTTTTGACATTTTCAGCTTGAAGTTTTAGTTCTTTAAATCTCTGGTGGAACAAACCAGTGCTTCTATAGTTATTCATTACATGTAAACTTATGTACTGAGAGCTTGAACACTGTGTTGACTATAGAGTGTAGGTGGAGGATTTCCTATTTACATCAATACAGTCAGAGTTTTCTTGGAGCTTCATCTAGTGGACATTTATATTACTTTAACACTGACTGAAAGTCTGTGTGTCCCCAGGTGATTCTGACCCGGCCTCTCTCACAGTGGATCCTGACTTGTCTCAGCTGTTTGAGTATGACAGTCTGAATGTGATCTGTGGCGACAACAGCAGCGTTCAATGGAAGGTCATGAGGAACACAACCCATGAAGGTGGCAGGTTTTCCAGCTGTGGAGGTCTATGGGGGACTACAACAGACTTTGGCTGCACCATCAAAGGAGCCAAAAACTATGACAGCGCTATTTACTGGTGCGAGTCTCCTGCAAGACAGCGGAGCAACTCTGTCTACATCAATCTATATGGTAGGAACTGTGTCTGTGACGTCACCCATAGGTTTCAGCTCAGTGTGGTGTCTCTGCTTGTTGCCTCCGTGGCAACTCCAAGCTAATCCAAACTTAGGCAAAGGGTTATGAAGCGTGGATGGAACTAGCAGAGAGATAACGGCTTGCCACCTCTGCCGCCACCCACCTGTCACTCAAAGCACCATGTCCTAATTAGGCGTGGCGTTAAGACTTAATATAATTTAAACTGGTAAATTATATAAAAACAGTTGCTATGAGGGGAAACTAGCCAAAACCGTTTTTTTGTACCAGGCAGTGAACATGTATGGAGATTGACTCACTTTTAGAGCCACCTTCAAGTGGACATTAAAGAAACTGCAGCTTTTGGCACCTCAGTGTTACCTTCATTTTTCAGCCTCGAGGCTGCTCCTCTGAACTGGTCAGATATTAGCATGCTAATGTTAGCTTTTGTCTGTTGGGTCAGTTGACTAAACACCAGTTACACACAACTGCCATCAGTGGGTGTAAATATTTTGTACCAACTAATCTCTACACAGGAACTACTTTGTGTGGCAGTGTAATTTAATGATACTTAAAACTCCACTTAGTTTGAACCTATGAAGACAACTAGCTAACTATAACTAGCTGTTTCTTTGTTTACTATTTCATTTGCTTCCTGACAGTTAGGCGCAAGAAAATGTCCATGACTGTATGTAGAACTATTTGCACTGAGTAGTTTTCAAATCTAAAAGACCGAAGACCACTACTTCAAGCCATAATCTGATCTTCCTAGAACCTCTTTCTTCAGCTTCTTCATCTACTTACAGATGATGATGATGATGATGCTAATACTCACACATTCCCTGCATAATAATTCACCAATAATACATTGGGCCAAAGAAAACAAACACTAAGTAGATAATTTGTCATGTTTTGTAAATTATTAGTGCTCGACATTAACAACCGCCAACCCACAAAATGCGGTTGGATTTCAGCCGTGGCGGGTAACACAGTCACTCCCACTAGCCACTTTGGCATGTTGAAAAATTGTAGTCTTTCAAAAGGCATCTGAAATAACAAACGAATTGCAATTTTACATTCTCCCATGAGTAGGCTACTACCTGCACATAGTGTTTACTCACTGGTCCATTCGTGAAGCCTATTGTCTTGACCGACAACACTGTAAACAAGAAGACGCTGTGGAGATCGAACTCACGGACTGGCCGTTGGACTGAGGGCTGTTTTAGTCTGCTGGTAATAATTATCAACGTAACCAGCGGCAGTGATGATATAGCGTTCTTTTTTAATAGCAGGAAAATCCACACAACATGCTAGTCTCACTCTCTTCTGCAGTGCTGATGAGCGAGGGTACGCGCCCCAAATATGACTTTCAGACTTTTGTCAAACAAAAATAAAAGTTTAATCTGTCACAGGGCAGCCACAGTTCCTCGGACCTGTAGACTGACAGCCTCCCGCCTGATTTTAACCTGATGGTATTGATCTCATCATATCGTCATATCACAACTACCTAATCATGCCGTTTATCTGGAATATAAAGACCTGTATAATTGTTTTGGGTGGAAGTATCTTCAGTTACTCTGATCATAAAAGTTTAATCTTGTTGCCTTAATTGTGGATTTTTTCTTAGACAAAATAATTTATTCTTTGCTTTTTTGTTTCTAAGGTAGATCATTTTTCTACTCTGTATTACAGTGTTTACTGCTGTTAAAAATAAATAAACAGTGTTTCTGATGATTATTTTTCCCAGTTTAGTTTTTATCTTTTCAATTAATCTTTTTACACACATTCAGCACTATTAGTAGGCAATTTACAATAAGAAGCTACTCTTTTTACGTGTTTATCTTAATAGACTACATGTTTCCAAAAAAAGAGCTTTACACACAACCTTATCAGAGCTAATGATATAGTACATTTTAGCACAGCAATTTAAGCATGCCATTGTCAACTTTAATCATATAAAATATAATTTTCTAACAACAAAAATGTGGCTACTGAAAATGCTGCGTGGCTAGTAACTTTGTAAAACCACTAGCCACATTGGCTTGTGAGCAAAAAAGTTAATGTCAAGATCCTTATTGTTTCATAAATATAAAATTATGTATTCAGTATGTTGTCAACTTGTTCAAATTTACTAGAAATCTACACGAACATTAATTTAATCACCTTTAAGAGAAACATTTGCTTAACTAGCACCACATGTACATGTGAAAAACTGTTTTTTTTTTTAAATCTTAGTATTTTAAAGTGTACATACAAACACATTTTCCGTCTTTCTTTAGATTCATCTATACAACCAGTGATCCTGCAGAGTCCTGTCCTCCCTGTGATGGAGGGACATGATGTCACTCTGCGCTGTAAAACGAAGACCCCTCCCTTCAACCTCACAGCTGGTTTCTATAAAGATGGCTCCCTCATCAGGACTGAGCCTACAGGTCACATGACCATCCACCATGTTTCCAAGTCTGATGAAGGCCTCTACAAGTGTAACATCAGCGGTCGTGGAGAGTCTCCATCCAGCTGGCTGTTTGTAAGAGGTGAGGAAGCTGCTTAGTTGATATTGATTGGTCAGATGTATATTTGATTTTTCTGAGGAAAAGCTCAGCTGGTTCATGACGAGATCAAATTGTGATGAGAATTCTCTTCAGGTAAAAAGCTGTCTCGCAAGACTCACGCAAATGACATTTTTCATGACATGTTAATTTTGTGTTTCTTATTGTATAAATAAAAACTGGTGCAGAAAAATCATCAGAATGCATGAAATTAAATGATTAATGCTCACACTGTTATAATAATAATAACTGATAATTCAGCATTAAAGTAAAATTCTTAACAATAGTGCTAAGATCTCGTCTCATCTCGATCTGGTGGGTTAAGTGTCTCGTCACACCCCTAGTAGTTACATTAGAGTTTTTATACACAGAGGTGTTTACAGTTACAGATTTTTAGGGGAGCAAGAACATATAAGTGTGCTGTTGTAATGTTCACACTAACCAAATCACTTGTTGGTGAACATATCATTTTGCAGCATTTAGCGTCACTTTCCTGCAGGGCTTTTTTCCTTTAAAAGCCACCTTTTCCTTTTCTTAACACTGCTGAATGAACAATTAATTTCTACTGATTTGTGAGTTTGATCCGTACTGGGTCTGCACCGGTACCTGCCTCCTACAGGAAACAGTTTCACTCTAAAGTCTGACATGACAAAAGCACTCGCCTTTCCCCGCCTACTTTGCTTTTACATGATACCAAACTATCTGCCCACTACATGAATGTAATAATGTACAACCAGTGCTTGAAGTGGGGCGGTACACTCCGGTACCGGGACATTTTCTTGTCACCTGCCACCTTCATTTTGTTTCCGTTCATATAAAATAAACACATTTCCTCGATAAATTGGTCCTGAAAATGTGTCCAGAATGCAGGAAATTAAGTGTTTAATGCTCAAAATCGTTAACGTTTTTACTAGTTTCACCATGAGGTTGAGGATAGTACAGGGTGGGGTGGGGGCGAGTACTGTCACCTATTTGTTTCCACTTCAAGCACTGTGTACAACCTTTAACAGTGTGACTGACTGAGTGTGGAAGTTCCCCTGAAGGTTTGGGGCTTTGGAAACAGAGATCACAGTGACACCTGGTGGCTTGTGGAATATATTGCAGCTCAAAATGAAGGATGAAAACATCTTACAGATATTTAGGTGGTGTTCAAAAACAAAATCCAGATCAGTAAAACCTTAACAATGGAAACCTAGAAAGTGATTTATTAATAAGTGATTTCATTGGAAAACTACATATTGCAAAGGTAACTAAACTTAGCAGTCCGGTTCACTCTGCTGGTCAAAAGAGATAAGACCTTTGGAGTGGCGTTTGTCAGCAGGAACTTTTCCAGTTGCTAATGTTATCGTTATGCAAAATACTGTAACGTTAATTGTATGGCTTTCCATAATACTTCACCAGCTAATGCTACACATTACTATCCTGTGTTCAGTCTGTATTATGTCAAAGAGCTGATTTTAGCCTGCAAGAAAGGATGTAATGATGTAACAAAGCCAATGTGGATCAATTTGTTTATATCAGCCTATTGTCAGTGTCACAAGTATGGATTAGTTAAAAAATATTACTGTAACACTGCTGGGGGAGTTTACCTGAGTTTCCAGCATGATGTGTGAAGCTGTCTCCTGGTGAGTCTGTTTATAGCCACTTTAACACTGCCGTCTTATTTTCCGGGAGAGATGCACCAGTATGCTGGCTCTACATCTGAAAGGTAACACTATGGAGCCAGAAAGGGGGGCCGATTTGATTTGCCTCTGAGCCGGGAACGTTGGTATGTCTGTGTGAAAAGCCACAGCCGGCATGCTGGTGTTTCCACGTTTACTGCGGGATCTCTGTCTGAAAGACGTTATGTTTCAGATTTTGCTTGCTTATGAGTTTAAGCTCCAGCTCAAGCACACACCTGGTTGCAATAAAAAAAACGCACCGCTAGTGGCCGCTGAAAGCTACATATTATAATGTTCAGAGCGTAGTGTCTGTGAAGTTTCTCAGTCTTCAAGGTCATAGTTATCCACAGACGGTTGAAAGATGTCGTCCCTCATCCAAGAGACTTCCTCTTCCCTAAAGTTCTGAAATGACCAGTAGGGAAACTCGGCTATTTCACCTCAGTGGGGTCGTGGTGGTGGCGTAGACCCCCTCTTCTGTCCAGCGATGGCTTCTCAACCCTGGTGTAGATGCTTCCTTGACACCTCTTTCAAACCATCCATCTTCTCTGTCTAAAATGTGCACCTGGTGGTCCTCAAACGAGTGTCCTTTATCCTTCAGATGTAAAAAAACTGCTGAGTCATAGTGTGGCTGTAAATGTGTTTTAGTGAGCATTAAGACATTAAAAGAGGGAATACTGATTTTAGACGTTCACCTGACCAGGTGTGTTTGTTTTTCTAGATCGCGCTTCACCCACTGCAGAGCCAACCCAGATGTCTGTGCTGAGCGTGATCCGCCACCTGGTGGTCTTCTCACCATACTGCGTAGCGACTGTTCTTATGTTGTCTTTATATCGACAAAGGCCCACAGGTAACAATAACCTTATAATAAGAGTCTACTGCCATACTAGCTGTAAGACACAACGTTAGAGTTTTAACCATGTTCACCATCTTATGAATATCTGAACCACATTTCATCACAATCATCCAACAGCTGAGATGTTTCGGTCTGAACTAAGTGGTGGACTGCTCAAATGATCAATCAATCACTGAATCAATGTCCCGATCACATCATGCTTCATTTAAATGAATAAAATAATCACTTTCTATGTTAATTTATCATGTAATTAATAAAACGATTACTTAACTTTACAGGAAGGAACCCACCTGTTTCTACGACGACGTCTCCGCTCAGAGAAGATGGCGAGAAATTGGACCAACCATATGATGATGTCATGGCTGATGTCACCACCGAGCATCATTTCTAAGCTATACTTTCTTCTTATGTTGTTTGTTCATCTGTATGTTTTTTATTTTATTTTTTTTTATAAAATGTTCTCTTTTGTGTCAGCATCATAATATTTTATATTTATATTTTAAATTTAACCTATATAGGTAAGTTTAAAATATGGTAATCAAGTTCAATCAATCATTCAAGTTTTATTTAAAATGCATAATAACCAAAAGACATGGTCCCAATACATGCTGCAAACCTATGGACCTGGTTCCATAGATGGGAAACATGGGAACAAAACACTGAGAGAAAAGATGGTCATTATTTGCTTTTATTTTGATCTAGTGACTGAATTTAGAAGCTGCAGAACTTATTCCAAGACATCTGAACCAAACAAACACAAACAATGAATCAAATCAATCAATCAAAATTTATTTATAGAGCACTTTAAAATCCAAAGTGGACACAAAGTGCTGTACAGTAAAACAATAAATGAATACATAAAAGACACTTAATACAAAGTTCACATGATGCATAAAATACAAATAAAAACAATAACAACCATACAATAAAACAATAAAATCAATACAACCAAAACAAGAAATGTCAACTTCAATTTTCAAAGGCCAAAGAACAGAGGTGGGTTTTAAGAAGAAACTTGAAGAGACCGTGAAGATGCCTGTCTAATGTGCAGAGGTAGATCGTTCCACAGTTTAGCAGCTTCTACAGCAAAAGCTCGGTCCCATCTGAATATGCGCTTTGTTTTGGGCACACTTATGAGCGGTTGATCAGCAGACCTGAGAGAACAGGTGGGTCTATAGGGGTGTAGCAGCTCAGAGATGTAGGGTGGGGCAAGACCATTAAGACTTCTAAAAGCAAATAAAAGAATCTTAAAATGGATCGGCTAAAATGGGGGAAATGTGCTTGTATGTACGTGTTCCAGTTAAAAGACGCGCTGCAGCGTTTTGTACCATCTGGAGACAAGCAATGGAGGACACACTGACAGTTTCAGAGTGCTGCCTGGAAAGAAATGGCTTTATTTTGGCCAGTTGCCTCAATCGAAAAAGAGCTTGTTTTTATGACTGTCCTTCATAAGTTTGTCCGTCAAACTTAAGGTCAGAATTGATTTTAACCCCTAGGTTAGTGATTGTTGGCTTAATATACTGACTCAAGGAACCCAGATCGACACGGGTGGTCCCAGTGGTGCCACCAAAAAACATCACTTCTGTGTTACTTTCATTAAGGCTTAAAATGTTAAGAGCCATCCAGGCCTTTACGTCATCAAGACATTTTAGTAACGGTCCAACAGTTTCATTCTTTTTAAAGAGTTGGTATTCTGCTCATTTTCAGGTTCAAATCCTATTTAGAGGTTGTACCAGAACAGGTTTACATGGTTTCATTTTCAAAAAACACCATATTTTTTTAATACTGCACTGAATATTGATCAGTCTGAATATTGTGCTCATCCAAGGCGGCCATTAACTGCAAACTATCTTTTGAAGGAATTTTAACAGAAAGGTTAGTTTGGAGATAGGCCTGAAATTAGTGAGATCTGCAGGATCCAGACCAGGTTTTTTAATTAAAGGTTGCACTACTGCATGTTTAAAAAGTTCAGGGACCACCCTGAGGAAAGGCTACTATTTAAAACTGCAAGAATAGATGGCCCTATTGTAGGGAATAACTCCTTAAAAAGTCGGGAGGAATAGTATCAATTGGAGAACCTTAGGACTTAAAATGCCCAACAATCTTCTGTAAAACAAAGTCACTGGTTCAAACAAAAATCATCTGTCATTTGGAGCAAAAACATGACATCTTTCTAGAACACATTTACACCTCTATCATGAATCAAGTTTACCTGAATTGGTCTTTCTCTGAGTGATCAGACTTCACTAAACCTGTCAGAGTTAATCCTGATAACTGCTCTCATCTGCTTACAATATAAGATTAGAAGAGTTTAAAGTGAGACTGTCGCTGCTGCTGAAGTCTGAGATCCTGACTTCAACAGCATCTGCAAGTCAAACTAGAACATGAGGAGTTCCACAGGGAAGTGTTCTGGGTCCTCTGCTGTTTGTGAGCAAAATGTCACGGGGGAGGCGCAAGAGAAAGTTTTGGACTCAGCACAAATCAATGATGTAACACCAGTGTATGCTGTGATAATAACCAACTTCACCTGTAAAAGCCCTGAGACACAAACTTTCCTCAGATCATGTGTGTAATGACTATTTTCAAGAAATTATTCCAAATGTCAGTACACTTTACATATACAACATAATATAACATGTGGAGTACAATTCTAACCATTATCTCTAGTGTAATGGAAACTTGTCCTTTAGCGAGTCTTCTGAAATAAAGACATCTTTTAAGGGTTTTATTCTTTGCAAAGGGTCAGACAAACTTACAGAGTGCAAACCAGTCTGCAGAGTGTAAGACAAAGAGCCAGTGAAGAAGCAGGTGACTTTATACTGTGAGGGTATTACGCAGCTATCCAAGGGAGGAAGGCAGTAGGGACCAGCTGTCCTGAGATGAAGGCCTATCAAGGACAGTCTGATAAGAAAACTCTCAAAACTCTTTCCCATGGAATACTTCACCTAGCTGTAACATGATAAAATAATCAAATACCACACAGTGAAACACTGGTCTATTCTGATGAAGCATGCAGGGTGAAACAGTAAACACAGTAAAATATCAAATTTCCATCACACTAGTTAGCAATTTATATCTGCAGAAGCATTTCCCACTTTAAACTACAGAGTAAATACAGCAATACACAAGAGATAGAAAACACAATCATGCTGATAACATAATACACACAATTAAACCCTTTAACAGTACTCAGTACAGTTCAGAAACCTATACAGAACAAAACTAAGACAGGTACAATGTCTCTGCACGGCTACTAAGTACTGCTCTTTCAGCTACGACTTCCTAATGTGGCTAGCTTACTCGTTGTCGTGTAATTAACGTCCTAATTTCACAATGTTCGAACTAACTGTGCGTAATGACTGATGGGAGGAAGCGAGGTGCACCGTAACATAGCTCAACAGTTTTACCTTCTGCTGGAGTCCTCTAGTAACTACAACAGTCTTGTTCACGCTTACTGCTGCTGGTGTTAGAATGATATTTTGCACATGAAAAATAAAGTCTTTTTTCACTGCATAGTACCAGCTCGACTCAGCTCGACTCACCTCAACTCTACTCGCCTTTGTTCGGTTTTCCACTGTGGAAAAGTTGTACCTGTACCTGCTTCCAGGTCTCTTTTTTTTTCACCTCCGTCGAGGTTCCAAGCGAGCCGAGGCAATACTAAAATGAGACGTGAAAACACACCAGACTGCTGATTGGTCAGAGAGAATACTGTCACTATTCACTGCATCATCATTGCGTGCGCCTGACAGTCCAGCAGCAAAAAGATTTATATTTTACGATTTTAGTACATTATTTCATCACTAAATCCACTTTTGAGAAATCAACTGTGTAGATTTTGAATATTGACCGTTTTACGTTTTAAGTGATGAAAAATGTGCTTGAAAGTTTTCGGAGTTGAAGAGCTCCCCAAGTGGTGGCGGGGGAACCTTGTGGCTGTAGAGGAGCTGGCCAGTCAGCCGCCCGCTCACAGAGCCCTCTGCTCCCACCGTCACACAGACCGCTGCAGCAACAACGGCAGAGGAAAACACAGCTGGAAGATTTTCATACCGCAGCCAGATTTTGATGTTTTGCAATACAAAAATGTAATAACTGAGGTGAAAGTTTGCTCCGTGTGGATATGTGGTGAGATTTCAAGGGTTTTCAGTTAGCTTCAATTTCCAACTGCTTGTCTTACCCAGTTCTGTGTCAGTAAGATGGTCTGACTATATCGGCCACAATAAAGCTGGCTAATGCAGAGCAGAGTTTAAGGCAGGTAGTGAAAATATTAGGCTATGAATTCTCCTAAAATGATGGCGTTAGTCTCGTTACATGAGAAAACCTGCTCAAACAGTCCCGAGGACCCCCCACTCAAAAACAGCCAATATAAAATCTTGCCTAGTGCTCCAACACTGTCAGAGCCGCCTCAGAAGCTCAGAAGGGAGTCTCTGTGGTGACATAACTGTTATCATTCAATTCCTCCTCAACCTGGGTGGGCGGGGTCATCACCATGGAGACGGGCAGGTTATTTCCTGCAGTCAGAGCAGGTTAGAAAGAAAATGTAGATCATTTATCTGTTAGAGACAACTGTCAGTCTTCAACACCAGAGTTAGACTGATTGATTAATTGTAATGTCAGTGAATGAGTCAGAGTGTTACCTGTGGCCCTGCGTCGATATAAAGACACCATGAGGACAGTGGAGATGCAGTACGGACAGAACACCACCAGGTGGCGGATCAGTCTGAACACAAGCTGGAGGGGGACTGAGGCCGGGGGCAATGGAGGAGGCGGTGCTGTGGTTGTAGGTATATCTGTAGAGAGAATGCACCTGCTCAGGTGAATCTCTGGATGAAATAAGTCCTGAAATCAAAGGTAACCTCCTCACCTGTGACAGAGATCCAGCTGGATGGAGACTCTCCACGACCTCTGATGTCACACTTGTAGAGGCCTTCATCAGACTTGTTAACATGGTGGATGGTCATGTGACCTGTAGGCTCAGTCCTGATGAGGGAGCCATCTTTATAGAAACCAGCTGGGAGGTTGGAGGGAGGGGTCTCTGTTTTACAGTGCAGAGTGACATCATGTCCCTCCATCACAGGGAGGACAGGACTCTGCAGGATCACTGGTCCACCTCAACACAGAGACAAACTACAGCATTTCATCATTTACACACAGCTTCATCAACACTAACTCCACAGTCTGATCTTACCAGTGACAGTGATGTTGATGGTGTTACTGGTTGCTCCGTCTCTGGACTCACACCAGTAAACTCCACTGTCCAATGGGAAGATGTAGTTGATCTTACATGAAGAACCAGCTGATGTTCCCCAGTCAGATCCACACTGAGTCCTGGTTTCTCTGGTTGTGTTCCTCCTCAGCGTCCATCCAGCAGAGCTGTCGTCTTCCTCACAGCTCAGAGAGACAGACTCTCCTTCAAACAGCTGAGAGCTGCTGGGACTCACAGTCAGAGAGGCTGGAGGAAGAGGGGTTTAAAGTCAAGTTAATGTTGATGTGCAGTTTAGGAAACATTAAGTGACACCACATGACTGAAGTTCCAAACTTTTTACTTGATAAAATGTTATTGTACACCAGTGGTTCTTCACCTGGGGGCCGGGAGAATGCTACTATAGACACAACACAAAAATAGAAACAAAATAACTTAAAAATAACTAGACAGCCTGTGTTGTGAATGGAATCACTTTGGGTGGACAGTGTAAATATTTCACACTGTTTAATGCATTAGGTGGTGGTAACACACCAAAAGAGAATACTAAAAAATGTAACATTAGGCCAGCTGGTAATTTGCTTAACAATGGAGCATTTTTTAATAAGTAGCACTGGAAACTACAGGAGATAAGAGGCAAACAATCTACCTAACAGAAAGCCACCACTATGAACCTGAAAGTTTTGACATTTTTTCACTAACATCACTGACTGGATTTCCAAAACTGGGATACCACACAGTTGATGCGAGACCTTGTTATTACCGCGCGCTAAAGAAATGGCTTCAGTTATGTGTGGGAAAATCAATGCCGTGCAGCTAGCATTGATACCAGTGTGAGAGGATACCGGGAAAAAGCTGTTTGTGAAGCGTTTGGTCTTGGTCGAGAGTGACCTGTAGCTCCTCCCTTAGGGAAGGAGGTGGAAGAGGTGGTGAGCAGGATATGAGGGGTTGGAGATGATTTTCTTTGCTCGCTTTACAGTCCGATGTGTATAGAGAGATTCAACTGAGGGCAGTGGTTTGCCTATGATCTTGGGCAGTCCACTGTAGCTTTTTCTTTGTTTGGCTGTCCGTGCTACCATACCATACTGATGTAATAATGGACTTGATGATAACGGAGTAGAGCAGAACAAGGAGTTAATGCTTGATCCGGTATTTTTTAAGCTGCCTAACGAAGTAGAGTCTTTGTTTAGCTTTTGCAATGATGTGTTCAGTGTTAGTTACTGCTAAAGTGTGTTCCTAGGAATTTAAAGGAGTTGGTGATGGTGATTTAGTTGGTGTTTATTTGTATGGGTGTTTTGGGAAATGGCCTACGTCTAAAGTCAATAATGAGTTCCTGGGTTTTGACTGTGTTGAGTTGGAGGTCATTGTTTGAACATCAAGTGACAGCTTGGTCCACTTCCATGTGGTACTGAGTTCAGGGCTGGACTGGTAATCTGTCATACTGGGCAAATGTGCACAGGTGAACGACATGTGGAACTAATTAGGCACAGCAGACACACAGTGAAACAGCACAGAGTGAAACAGGAAGGCAAGTCAAACCCGGATGAGTGAAGGGAGGACAGGAGGAGGGCAAGTGGAATCCAGGTTGTTGGAGGGAGGACTGGAGGAATCCATGGGCACAGAAATAGAAAAAAAGACAGTCCAGGGCATGCAGGGGCAAAACGGTGAGTGTTCAGGGACAGAGAGGAAACAGAACTTCAGGCAGGCGGTGTTGTGGTGCTACAGAATCTCCCCACTGCCATGTGTTCTTTTGTTCCCCCCTTCCCTGTTTTCTGTCTGTCCTCCCTGTCTGTGTCTGTCTGGGCGTGGCTACACCCTCTGGCTCCAGCAGTGCACCTGGTTCTCATTCCACTAATCAAGCTCCTGCAGTATTTCAACCCCAGTCCTCCTCACATTCTTCGCCAGATCGTCAGTTAACCACATGTGGTAAATGCCTCAAGGCTGACAATCTTCTCCTGTAAGATTCCCAGTAATTTCTGTCTCTCCCTGGATTAACCCGTTTTTCTCTGTGCCCAGGATCACCGTACCTCCAAGAACCCTGCTGAACGCCACACCCTGCTCTGCACGTATCTTACCTGGACTTACTCACCTCCTCTGTGCTCTCCATACTGCCCTGTTGGACCTATTAATAAAACCCTTTTTGTTACCCCTTCGAACTGTACCGAGTCTGTCTTTGAGTCCTCAAGTTTTTGCATTATGACAGGCGGTATGAGAAGGAAAAGGGGATTTCAGGCGAGCCATCTGAAGGCAGGACAAGGAGAGAACAGGGGATGTCAGGCACGTGGCCTAAAGGCAGGTCAGTTCAGAGGGACGACCAGAATAGGTCAGGAGGCTGGCTTGGGGGCTGGGAGCAAGGGCAGGAGCCCTCGAGCCATCTACAGATGCTGGACAGGGGGGGAGGGTGCGGCAGTAAAGGCAGAACCCCTCTTGAGGCTGGCAGCGAAGGCGCGACCTCTCCGGATTTCGAACAGGAGGCTGGCTGCGAAGGTGAGATCTCTTTGGAGGTCGGGCAGAACTGATGGCTTAGAGCGAAACAGCAGAACAGGGAACGGGAGACAAGGTTTCTGAGCTGCAGACTGGCAACTGGACAGGCGGGCTGGGAAACCAGGCTGGGTACCGACGTCTGGATCCGCGACTGATCAGTGGGGCTGGCTTCCGGCAACTCGGTGCGCAACTGGACAACCACGCTAGGAACCGGCAACTGGGTACACAACAGGACAATTGGCCTGGAAACTGGAATGAGAACAACCAGACTAGGAACTGGCAACTGCGTATAGGGGCCTGGAGTGGGCTGGTCCACCAACAGAGCTTGTGTTGGTCAGACCGCTGATGGAGAACCAGGAGCAGGGGTCAGTTGGGCCACCGACAAAGGATCAGGAGCAAGAGTCGACCGAACCACGGTCGGAGCTGGTGCTGGATGGACCACCAATGGAGCCAATGATATGTTCCGTAATAGTTTCAAAATGAACAGAAAATATACTTCTAACATTGTGTTTTGCACCGCTGCTTCCCGCTGCTGTAAACTCGCGCGCTCACACACGTTCACATCCGACTCGAGACAACCACTTCTCTTTTGAGGTAACTACAGTAACATTAACTGAGGGTTTGAACTGCCTTGAGTGTTTCTACTGTCACTCGTTTGTGAGAACACGATCAAGCCGGCAGCAAAATTTGGAGTGCACACGTATTAGAGCCTTTATGGTAAATGCAGTAACGACAGTCGTTACATTCGTTAGGACTACCAGTGGCCAAGACTGAACGACCATCATTGGTATCTTCACCTGAGGCCAATAGGTTACGTTTGTTGAGTTTC